ATAATAATAATATCATTTTATAATATACTGTATCTAACAAAAAAAACTAATATGATTGGTGCAGCGAAACTTCTAAGATTTTAGAAGTTTTGATCAAGCTCAGAAATCTAATAATATATGATATTTGTTAATTGGTTACTATAACAAAAAAGCAAATCAAAGTATAGCGATTATTAACAAATTGTAGCTTACTAAGTTATCATAATCGTCATCATCTTCCACTATTGTTTCGCTTTCTGTAGCTTGTGATGACAATTCAGTTCATTATTTTTGTGCAGCAGCAGCTTCAGCTTCCTCTTCAGCTATCTGCTTCATAATTTCTGACATAAGGGGGCTATTATTTTCATATGCGTGCTGTTTAATAAATATTTTCAAAGTTATATGTATTTTAATATGAATGAAGTATTTGGAATACGAAATACTATAAATATAGTTACCAAGAAGGCATTCACTCATTTCACTACAGACTTATCATTACATTTTATCTCAAGACTTTTTGGGTTTAAGAGAATGTCACATATGGCGATAATGTATGCGCAATGTGTTGTTGGAAGTTCCTGATTTTTGTACTGTTTAAATACCATGTAACCTATTTCTGTAAGTATTTCATTGTCATAAAAAGCGCATTGTAAGCGTTCTTCATTTTTTCGCTCGATTTCCATTTGACAATTTTGGCAGCTGATGTGTTATTATCTACGTAATCTAACTTATCTCTAAAGTTAATAAATAATGCATGGTGGATACTTGCCGTGATATTATTATATTTACTACGACATTTATTTTTAATCTAAAAATGTAAAAATATAAGAAATAATATCAAATTTTTTGAAGTTCTTTAAAGTTTTAGGATTTCAACTTACTTCCGGTAACAACATATCTTCAAACATAGAAACCCAACTGTTTCTGCTAATACTTTCAATAAAATGGACAGCATGTTCAGAGAGAAATTTTTCTAATGCATTACGAAATTCGCTGACAAAAGGAAATAAAACATTTGGTAATAATTTCTTAACTACTTTCCTGTATATGCACTATAAAATTATAGTAATCTTTTAAGTATCTTAAAGGTCAAAATAGTACTATTGAATATATTAAATTACTCACATTCTAAAATTCTTCTGAAAGTTCATTGAATGCAACAAGCCTTTTCAAGGCTTTACTGTTTTCCTGTTACTTATTGCTGATATATTTACAAAGTTTGTACAATGAGATAATTTTCGCATCAAAAAGACTCATAGTAACGTCAAATTTCTTTTTTGTAAGGCTTGTCGATGAACAGGTCCTTGTGAGGTTATCAAAATTTTAGTAGCAATTGAACCATGATCTTTTTCAGAGTCTCCGAAGGTATTATCAAAATAATCATTGTTGAGTTCCATGTCTACGGACTCTCGTTCAGTTGATTTTCTGCACCCTATATCTATGTCACTTGTTAACGATTTGATTGATTTTCTCCGCTTCATGTTAACATCATTTATTGATAGGTTGGTTGATAAAGTTTCTTGGTCTTTCTCGAAAGCAGGTGTTTGTTCGCGTGAATTTCTATGCAAACCTGCTTGCTCTTTTTCATTTGATTTTTTGCTACGAGTCATCATTTGTAAAAACTTATTTGTAATAGGTTTTTTCTGCATTTGCGCTATTCCTACGGATATTTCTTCATTTCATGTAACCTATTTTTTCCTTTTTTATTGTTTGGCATATTGAATAAAAATTATTTGGAAAATATCGTTATATATAAGTGGACAAA